CTCAAAACCTGGGTTGGGATGATGTGATGTGATCACAGAGTCTTATCTTCTGCAGAAAATTCTCTGCAATGCAGGGTTTGCTGTTGACCACAGGGTGAGTGATCACCTGGGATGACGTTATGTGAAGAGTCTTATACTCTGCAGCAAATTCTCTGCCATCTCCCACGAAAACGGAAAACATGCCGAGGCACACAAGGCGGATCCGCCTTTTGGATTCGATGCACCGCTCCTGTTCACCTGCCTCTTCGCCTCTTCCCCTCTCTCCTACGTGCTTCCCCACCTCTCTCCACTCCTCTACCCACCATATAAACACACACACCCCCCCCCCCTCTTGTTGCGCTGCTAACCTCCCCGTGCGCTGGGTGATCCATGCAGTGGGGCCGAGATGCATGTTGGATAAACCTATCTATAAATTACTTGCCCGTGGATCATCACTGTTTTGCTTTATACTCTCTCTCCTAATCTCCGTCTTTTCTCGTCTCCTCTACCCATCGTGTACCCCCCCTGCAGCGCTGCCAACCTGCCAGTGCGCCATGTGATCCGTGCAGTGGGGCCAAGGTACCGCTTGCATCAAGACTTCTTCACCTCTCATCACCTCACCTCTACCCACCCACCACTTTCCCACCCCCCCTGCAGCGCTGCCAAGCTGCCAGTGCGCCATGTGATCCATGCGGTGGGGCCTACGTATCATTCAGATCTTGTGTCAGTGCCCCTGCTGCAGAGCGCCTACAGGTGAGTATCTTCTGAGGGGAATCTTAAAAGCAGTTGGGCCCAGTCATAATTCAGATCTTGTGTAAGCGGACATGCTCAAGAGCGCCTACAGGTGAGTTGAGGGGGATTCTTACAAGCGGCGAGGTAAAAGGGTACCATTTCCCGCGCGCATCAGCCTTTCCCCCCTCCTCCTCGTTCCTCCTCTTTGAAGCAAGAGCTTTTCTTGACTCCTCTGTCCCTCACCCCTCTCACCCTACCCATGTGCACCCACTCTCACCTACTCCAACCACTCAACCACATGTTTGCTCTGCCTTCTTTTTCTTTTACAGGAGCATACTGAGGGAGGCTAACAAGCATTTAATCAAGCACATCGCCACACCCATGTGCACTCACCCTCACCCACTCCAACCACTCAACTTTATGCTCTCTCTCTCTCTGTTTGATTTCCTCTCCTCCGCACAGGAGCATACTGAGGGAGGCTAACAAGCATTTAATCAAGCACATTGCCACACCCATGTGCACTCACCCTCACCCACTCCAACCACTCAACTTTATGCTCTCTCTCTCTCTGTTTGATTTCCTCTCCTCCGCACAGGAGCATACTGAGGGAGGCTAACAAGCATTTAATCAAGCATGTCGCCATACCTGCAATATCATGCGGCATTTTGGGGTATGGCTATTCTTTCCCCTGAGTGTCCGTATGTGCGCATTTCTCTAGCAGAGTGGTCATCCAAATTATTCAGCTTATTCAGCTTATTCCTGTTTTATATATATCTAATATATTTTTAAATTTAAATTCTTTCTTCATGCGTGTATAGAATAGTGTGTTCTCATCTCCTCTTTATCTCCATCAACTCGCTCCTCATTATGTATGCTCTGTATGCTCCTTCCATTGCTGTGCTCTCCCCAGCTACCCCCCTACAAAGGCCGCCCAGGCAGCAATCGAGGTCTTGTGCAACGAACCATGGGGAACTGTGCAAGAGGTACCTTTTTCTCCTTCTCCTCTTCCTCTTCTGTGCAAGAGGTATGTCTTTCTCCTTCTCCTCTTCCTTTTGAGAATTCTCAAAAGTCACTCCTTCTCCTCTTCCTTTTGAGAATTCTCAAAAGTCACTCCTTCTCCTCTTCCTCTTCTGTGCAAGAGGCACCTTCGATTCCCAACCTCTCCGCTACCCCTCCCCCTCCAAAGCTTCATTCCGTCGTATTTCCAGAAGTGACAAACCATGGGGGTCCGTGCGAGAGGAAACTCCTTTTCCGTCCCCCCTCCTAGCTTCTCCCATCGCCCTCCTCCCTTCTCCTATCTTATCTACTCCCCCCTTGCTCTCTTTGCCTTCTCCCCGGTCATCGTCATGCTTCTCCTCCGCCTCCACAGGTGCACTTTGTCCTGTTCGACAGGAAGATCCTCGACAACTGGCTTGCTGCAATCCGTTCTGCCAACCTGCTGCTGGTTGCCCATCCCGCTCACGAGCCTGACATGCCCCGCCCTGCCCACATGTGCACTTTGTCCTGTTCGACAGTAAGACGCTCGACAACTGGCTTGCTGCGATCCATGCTGCCAACCTGGCGCAGCTGCTGCTGCAACAGCCGCCACCGCTGCAAGGGCCATCTCAGATGGTCGAACAACCAGTTGTGGTGCTGTCAAAACAACTGCCATACGAGTCAGCACAGCAGCTGCCAAAGCAGGCAGTGATTGAGGCAATGGGGACGAAGGCAGAGGAAGGGACACTACCCAAGACAGCACGGCAGTTGCAGCAGAAGCAAGCAAAGCAGACTCAGTCGCAGCAGCAGCAGCAGCAGACAGAAGCGAAACTGAAGCAGCTGGAACTGAAACAAAAGCAGCCGGAACCTGCTTCTGGTATGCTTGCTCCTAGTGGCACAAGCAGCTATGCTGCCGCTGCTCGCACTGCCACTCCTGCTGCTGATACTAGTGCTGCTGCTGCTGCTGCTACGCCCCATCATGACTTCTGAGTCAGACTCAAAAATCTGCTTCTGGTTTGCTTGCATCTGGTGGTACCAGCAGCTATCCTGACACTGCATGCACTGCCTCTGCCACCCCTGCCGCTGATAATGATGCTGCCGCTGCTGCTTCTGCTGCTGCTACGCCCCGTCCTGCACTTGCCTATGTTCTTTCGCCCCGGCCAAACCCCAACCAAAGATTGCGCCTCTCCGAGGGACTCCCAGTCCCTTGCTCCTCCCCACCAGCCTAGCTCCCATCCTGTCCCGTGTGGCTCTTCCAACCCAGATTCCCCCCAGGTCCCTCCCTCTTCTTAACTGAACTCCCCCACCAATCAATTCTGTTCTGTCTCACATAATTGTTCGTCCATACTGCGGCTGCTCTGCTGTACAGATGGGAACCAAAGGAAGTGGGGACTTGGATGTAAGGGGAGAAATGGAAAGGGGATTGGAGGAAGGTAAGGAGGTGGAGGAGGAAGTAGGGGAGAAGACACAGTAGAAAAGCAGGACTGTTGTGTGAGGTATCTGTGTGTGCAAGTATTGTATGTACATACGTGTGAGTACCGTAGCTTCTTTATCCTGGGGTTTGTGTTAGGGTACTCGTGAACTAATCCTTGTATATTGGGGTTTGTGTTACTCGTGAACTAATCCTTCTACTCCATAAACAATCCATGACCCATCCCTTTACATACCATACCAAAAGAGAAGTGTGCACTTATGCGTTAGATTCGATATTAACCTTCAGTAAGTTCCCCTGCTCTTTACTTCAAGTAGAGTACTGTAACCTGCCGGAATCTACACCCTCAAAACAGGGTACCTAGCATATGCTACCTACCTACACCTCCTATAACCAATCCTTTCACAAATCTAAGGGCAAGTGCTTCTTTGCCTTGATGTAATCCTTCAATAACCTCTTCTGCTCATCTATCCTCCTCCTCTCCTCCCTACTCGCTCCCACTTGCTCCTTTCTCTTCGCATCCAATATCCACTTCAAAACTTCCAGCTGCCCGTCAAGATCAATTTTCGACACCTGCCCGCCCGTAAAAGCCAACCCAGTCACTCCAGACCCTTCTCCTGTACCACCATCAGCACCATCCCCCGTTACAGTCACACCTGCAGGGCCAACCATCGCCTCCATATCCCACGATTGCATCTCAGACGTCCGTTTGGGGGCCGAGGAGGAAGCTGCATGGGAACCTTCCTCGGAACCAATACCAGGAGCAGTGGCGGTGGCGGTGGCAGGATCTGTAGCGGCTGTAGCACCAGCAGCACCAGCAGCAGCAGCAACAGCTGTAGCAGACTCTCCTCCTGCTTTCTCCTCCTTTTTGCGTTTTTTCTCGTCATCTAATTCGGCTGTGTCGGGCATTCGTGCTGCGTCTTTCAGCAAGGCCTTTCCTCTAAACAGCATGTAGCCTGGTGTAGCGGGTAGTGGACGAAGGGCAGGGAGAGAAAGAGTGAGGGAGAAGGGATGTGGAGGGGACAACTGGGCAGATGAGAGCGTCTAATTCGGCTGTGTCGGGCATTCGTGCTGCGTCTTTCAGCAAGGCCTTTCCTCTAAACAGCATGTAGCCTGGTGTAGCAGGTAGTGGACGAAGGGCAGGGAGAGAAAGAGTGAGGGAGAAGGGATGTGGAGGGGACAACTGGGCAGATGAGAGCGCCTAATTTGGCTGTGTCGGGCATTCGTGCTGCATCTTTCAGCAAGGCCTTTCCTCTAAACAGCATGTAGCCTGGCGTAGCGGGTAGTGGACGAAGGGCAGAGAGAGAAAGAGTGAGGGAGAAGGGATGTGGAGGGGACAACTGGGCAGATGAGAGAGTCTAATTCGGCTGTGTCGGGCATTCGTGCTGCATCTTTCAGCAAGGCCTTTCCTCTAAACAGCATGTAGCCTGGTGTAGCGGGTAGTGGACGAAGGGCAGAGAGAGAAAGAGTGAGGGAGAAGGGATGTGGAGGGGACAATTGGGCAGATGAGAGCGTCTAATTCGGCTGTGTAGGGCATTCGTGCTGCATCTTTCAGCAAGGCCTTTCCTCTAAACAGCATGTAGCCTGGTGTAGCGGGTAGTGGACGAAGGGCAGGGAGAGAAAGAGTGAGGGAGAAGGGATGTGGAGGGGACAACTGGGCAGATGAGAGCGTCTAATTCGGCTGTGTCGGGCATTCGTGCTGCATCTTTCAGCAAGGCCTTTCCTCTAAACAGCATGTAGCCTGGTGTAGCGGGTAGTGGACGAAGGGCAGAGAGAGAAAGAGTGAGGGAGAAGGGATGTGGAGGGGACAATTGGGCAGATGAGAGCGTCTAATTCGGCTGTGTAGGGCATTCGTGCTGCATCTTTCAGCAAGGCCTTTCCTCTAATCAGCATGTAGCCTGGTGTAGCGGGTAGTGGACGAAGGGCAGAGAGAGAAAGAGTGAGGGAGAAGGGATGTGGAGGGGACAACTGGGCAGATGAGAGCGTCTAATTCGGCTGTGTCGGGCATTCGTGCTGCGTCTTTCAGCAAGGCCTTTCCTCTAAACAGCATGTAGCCTGGTGTAGTGGGTAGTGGACGAAGGGCAGAGAGAGAAAGAGTGAGGGAGAAGGGATGTGGAGGGGACAACTGGGCAGATGAGAGCGTCTAATTCGGCTGTGTCGGGCATTCGTGCTGCATCTTTCAGCAAGGCCTTTCCTCTAAACAGCATGTAGCCTGGTGTAGCGGGTAGTGGACGAAGGGCAGAGAGAGAAAGAGTGAGGGAGAAGGGATGTGGAGGGGAGAATTGGGCAGATGAGAGCGTCTAATTCGGCTGTGTCGGGCATTCGTGCTGCATCTTTCAGCAAGGCCTTTCCTCTAAACAGCATGTAGCCTGATGTAGGAAGGGCCAGGAGATGGATAAGGACGGAGGGAGAGAGAGAGAGGGGAAGGCATGGGGACGTGCCTCCCCCTTGCATCCGGCATGAAAACATACCCCCCCCCAGGCAGGCGGCAGCAAGGAAGTCAGGAAAGGTACAAGGGGAGGAGAAAGGAAAAAGGGAATAGGGAGAGGGGAGGAAGGGAAGGGGGAACCAACCAAAACACGTACCTCCCAGCACGAGGTTGAGGGCGAGCAGGAAACTGAACGCCCCCCGCATGCGGTACAGCAGAGGGCGGGGAGGGGGCGGGGAACTGCTGCTATCGATGATCCAGGGGGAACCCCCCCGATGATCCAGGGGGAACTCCCCCGGACCTTGGTACTGCGGACCAGACAACCCAGAAGGAGGGATTTAAGGGTGAAAGGGGGAAGGAGAAGGGGCACGTACCTCCCAGCACGAGGTTGAGGGCGAGCAGGAAACTGAACGCTCCCCGCATGCGGTACAGCAAGAAAGGCCGAGCGGGAGGTGGATAAGGGGGAGAAAGGGGGAAGGGGGTACCCAACCCACCACGTACCTCCCAGCACGAGGTTGAGCGCGAGCAGGAACCCAAACGCCCCGCGCATGGCAGTACAGCAGGGGGGGGCGTGTGGGGGTAGGGGGACGGGGGAAAGGGAACGGGGAAGGAGGGGGAAGGGAAACGCCCAGAACGTACCTCCCAGCACGAGGTTGAGGGCGAGCAGGCAAAACAAATGCCCCTCGCATGCGATACAGCAAGGCAGGGCGGGGGGGGGGGAGGTGAGTAAGGCGGGGAAGGGGGAAGCGGGAAGGGGGAAGGGGAAGCGGGAAGGGGAACAAGAGAAGGGGATTTGCTACGTACCTCCCAGCACGAGGTTGAGCGCGAGCAGGAAACTGAACGCTCCTCGCATGCGGTACAGCAGGGGGGGGCGGGGAGCTCCCCCAGCTGCTGACCCAAGGGGAGCTCCCGCGGACCTGGGCCCTTGGCCGGATAGGGGCGTTGGCGGAGATGCGGGGGAGGAGAAGAGGGAGAAGATGCCCCAGGGGGAGGAGCGCGCGGGGAGGTCCGGGGGAGCTCTGGCCGCAGCTGTGGCGGAAAGAGAGGAAGGGAGGGGGGAAGGTTGGAAGTGGGGGGAGGGGGGAAGAGGGACAGGGAAGGAGGGGAGGAGGGGAAGGAGGTCGGAGTAGGAATGTAAGGCGATTAGTTTTGAATAAATGACAAAAAAAAAAGAAAAAAAAAGACTGTGAAGGAGGATCCGTGGGGAGAGGTGAAGAGGAGGGAGAAAAGATCCGTGGGGAGAGGTGAAGAGAAGGGAGAAAAGATCCGTGGGGAGAGGTGAAGCGGAGGGAGAAAAGACCCGTGGGTGGAGAAGAGGAGCGGGTGGGGGGCTCTAAGGGAGCTCTGGCTACAGCTGTAGCCCCGACATCCTCACCGGCTTTAACCCCCCTTCGCCTCGTTAGACCCCTCCTCACCTCCCTCCTTAGATCCTTTCTCACCTCCCTAGACCGCTCTTCATCTCGTTCCCTTCCTCACCGCGTTAGACCCCTCCTCACCTCCTGCCGTTTCTCGCGCCTTCTTCGGCCGTCGCGTGAACAGCTTCAGACGGCCAGACGTGCTGCCGCCCTGCGGATCGGCCATCGCACGCCGAATAGCTTGCCGGCTAACTTGCAGACCTACTAATTGACCAAATAACCGACTGACTAACCGGCTTCTCCTAGATCCACTTAGTAAATGACTATCCTTCGTTTCTGATCCAGTTTCTTTCCAGCTGACCTTCACCCCTGGTGATCAATGGTTTAAACGTTCCGAAACGACCAAACGTACAGCTGCGCCTCAGGACTCAAGGATGGTCTTATCGCGGAGAATCGTAACGAGGATCATAAGACTTGGAATCTGTAACAGCGCAGGGCGCCTTCACAGGAGCAAATCAGAGGCACTGAGAATTTGCTTGAAGCAGAAGGTTCCGAATCCGCGATGTAGGACAGCTCACATCGAATTAACGAGGGTTCCAGAAGTACACCAGGAAAATATTGCTGCCAGGGCAGATGCAAATATATATTATATTGTTCAAACTACACTAGCATTACTTGGACAACGTTCAAACACACACTCATCGAGTAGAAGCAGGATAGACTATGCGATCACAAATATGTAACAAATGCATTGATCTGCACACACAGATAATGCAGTACGTAACAAAACACAACGGGCAATAAGCGTTTGCCCCCACACTACACCTCGCATGGAAGATGAACGTCGAGCTCATTCATATCCTCTGACGCATGCAGACGCAAATCATGCTCATTTGCCAAATGCAGCACACAGATGAAGCACAGATGCACTGAAATGTCGCTCAGCGCAGCTGCTCTGCAGTTGGCCGGGAAATTATGCAGCACTCGATCAAAGCTGATCGGGCCTGAGGAAAATTCCCCTTCGTCCTGCTGCTCCTCCTTCTCATAGCCATGGTGACGTTGTAGCTCCACCCAGATCGTGTCTTTCAGAATCTTCACATCCACCTGCTTTGACTGTCTCGCATAGTTGACATCAATCTTTTGTGCCTGCCAAGTAATTCGCGCAAACAGGAACCGAGATGAGAAGGTGGAGGTGCAAGCAGAAGGATAACAAAAGATGGATGGAGTGGACGGAAGGAGTGGAGAACAGGCAGGCAAGGCAAGACCCAGTCACATACTGCACCCCAAGATGCCAATCAGCACTACCAGAGAATTTTAAAAATAATAGGTGCCATACGGCCACCAGAGAGAAGCAGGACAGTGCTGAAGATATTCTCACCTTCTTTGGCATTGGAACCAGATCCTCCATGAAATCATCTGCTGGTTTGACCTCTGCAGAATCCCCTTGCCCATCAAAATCATCCCCATAGTCAAACGGATCAGCACACTCGTCCCCTCCCCAGTCATTCCCAAACCCATCGTCACCACCGTCAACTGCTGCAAACCCATCTCCACCTCCTCCATCCTCAAACCCCTGCTTCGCGCCACCACGCCCCCTGGCCTTCCGAGCCAAGAAGCTCCAATCCGAGCTTATAAAAACCGTAGCCAACTTGCGTCCATCATAATGGTAGTCCTTCGGAAGCAAGGTATTGACCACCTTGCGACCAGCCTTCGTCAGCTGAATTTCCTTCAGCGCTTTAGGGGCCTGAAACAAGGACTCGTCGATTTGAGGGTCCGAGAAGTCAATAAGCTCCGACTTTGCTGCCCTTTTCTTCCTCCCCTTCGCCTCTGGAGCTGCTGCAGGTACCTCCTCCTTGGACTTAACAAAGTGCCAGTGCTTAGGGCCAGCCCACGCGTTGCTCCCCTTGAGCCTCGTCATGCCCATGCCAGCTGCCAGCCAATCCGCAGCGTCCATTCCATCATCAACATCCGAATATCCGTTCTCCCCATCAGAATCCCCAGCTGGGATCATCCCAGGAGTACCACCACCAGCAAACGGCGGGCCAGCGAACCCACACCTATCATCATTCCACCCGTCATCCCCACCACCAAAATCGACCACAGATCCATCGTCATTATCATCACCAAACGGAAACCCTCCCCCCACCCCACCCACTGGTTCATCTCCCACATCAAACGCTTTAAATCCCTCTGCGCTCCTAACGGCATTCCCATCCATGTCATGAGAGGAGTCCTTGGCAAAGGCACCAACAGCTGCCTTCCAGCGGTTATCTTCAGCCAGCTCGTAGAGAGCAGAGATGGACGGAGTGATCTCCCAGCTCTCAGGGTCATCCGCGCTCAATAGGAGCTCCACTTCGCCTGCCACGAAGCAGCACAAACATGTCCGATGCATAATGGATTGTCTACCCATGATATTCGGCGATCAATGCAGCACAAATATGTCCGGTGAATGCCTGATTGATTGCTCATGTGTGGAACGGAATGTTAGGCGAGCATGTCAACGCAAATCCGTCGTCAACGGCTTTTCACTTCACAGCTCGATGATTATGAATTGAAACCAATGGTGAAACACGAAACCCAAGCAGCACCAGGTGGTCGTTGCGATTTTTTTTTTTTTTTTTTTTTTTTGAAACAAAAAAGGCTGAGGAAAGAGAAGCATTTACGGTAGGAAACACCAAGCTTTCTACTTACGAGATGCAAAGGAGATATCCACGTATTCCTTCCCCTGCTCCTCCGGCTGCGTGCGTGAAGGGTCGACGATGATGGCCTCCGAATCGAACATGATCTCGCACCCGTTGAACACGGGGAGATTGTACAGGAGCAAGCCGCTTGCACCGCCCTCATCGAATTGACCAGAAGTTTTCGTGAAAAGGGGGTCCGTGACAATGGCACCTGAAGATCCAGGTACAAATCACTACGAGGTCAGTATAGAATGATATATGACGTAATTAAGATAGAATTACGTTTCTTTGGCTCACGTTCAAGCTTCTTGACGTTGATTTGGTCAAGGTTATCCTCCAGTGTGCTGGATGTTGCAGGCAGCTGCATGCACAACGAAACACAAACGAAGCCATGCGGAAGTAAGGCCACCTCGACTTTCGCACACAAGTAATTTCAAACATAAAACGGATGTCCCGGTACCTTCTTCTGAGACTCTCGCCGGCTGCCGTTGCCTTCTTCCTGGTCAGCCCCTTCTTCATCTTCTCCTGCAAAAACGCAGGACCAAGGAGTCAGTGACAGCAGCACCAACCTACCGAGATGGAACGAAAAACGACGGCTGCATCTTTTCTTGTTTGAACATTTGAATGGTCTGTACACTTACGTGTATCGCCTGCCCGCGTCAGGCCGCTGAGCACTTTGTACGTCTCGGAATGGATGGAGTCGACTCGATACGAATATATCTTCACGCCAGCCTCCAGCGTGCAGCTAGCCTGTCCGAAGGATAAGAGCAGGAGCTTGATTAGTATACTACCAAGGGATCTGTTGAGGCGCCTCAAGAGAATAAACCTTCACATCAGCTTCAGGATGCAACTAGCATGCCGTAGGAAGGAAGTCGAATTGGTACGACGGATGGTGCTAGTAAAAGGATGAAACAAAGACCATTTGGCAAATTAAAGCGTAATCGGACCTTCTGGAAGTTAGTCTGCGTGTCGTTTTCGCAGTCCGCCTTGACGATTTCCGACATGTGGTCAATGAGATCAAGATCCCATGTGTTCTTCTGATTGATTTTCTGCACAGATCGAAGTCGGTGGGATGTCAGCTTCGTTCAGACAATTTACCCACTACTCGTCCTCCAAATTAAGCAACCGTGGCCAGCGTGACCTCATTTTCGGAAACCTTACATTCTCAGCAGCCAGCTTAGTGCAGTTCTGGTACAACGTAAGCAGCCGATCTCCAGACATCTCTTGAGGGTCGCAGCTAGAGCGCTTCTTATTCGCTTCTTTCATTCGGTCTGCGAACAGCCTACGCTGAGCTGCCTGACGCTCCTCCCTAATCTTCCGCTTCTCCAGCTCGTCATCGTTGGCGCCAAACGGAATGAATGCAGGTGATTTGGGATAGAGACTGGGGGACTTGAACATAATCGGGGCACCCTCACGCTGTACAGGAGATCGGCCATCCATTTTTGCAACTGCTCTCTAATTCTTCTATAAATAAACGTTGGAAGGAGAAGAGTCTCGGCAATCTCTGAACGTGATGCCTACTGACAAACCAAACAAACTAAAATCTAGGGCGTAGTAGACGGAGGAAGCTCCAAGGCCGTGGAGAATGATCGTCCGGTAGAAGAATCAGCCAGTTGTCGAAGGGCAGCGCGTAGGCAGCTAGAGGAAACCTTGGGAAATCCGTCCAACGATCAAGCCCAGAGAAGAAAAATGCACCAGATTCCAGTGTCCCCGGAATCTGGAGGGGGAAAAGGTTTGTTCACCACACCTTAAAGCGACGGGCAACTTTTGGCAGTGTTGGGTTCAGAAGTTTTTTTTTTGAACCAGGCTTGCCAGCGCGAAAGTGCTGGCTGGCGAAAACCAGGAATTCGTGCGGACACTTTCCATCCGCAGTAACAGTTCGCCAGGGTTCTGGGTTTTGGGTGGCAAATGTGCACCGTCGCTTTAACAAAATGCACCAAACAGGACCGTGCTGTAAAGCGCTGCAAGCTGAGATGTGTAGGGGAATGGTGGAGCTGGAGACTCCATGGAGGTTGGTTTGGTTCTGGGCTGGGGGGAAGATGGCCTGGATGGAGCCTGAAGGAAAGCTGGGCTTGATTGTGCCGAGACGCGCGACCTGGCATGTTGTCAGCGAGGCTCGGCGGGAAACACACAGCTTGCCGCGTCAATTCAAAGTTGCAGCTTGCGTAAATTCGTTACTGTAAAGAGGCGAAATTCATGTAGTTCTGTCTACACTGTTGGGCTCGTAAAATATACACACGGCCACAAAGTCAAGTCTCTCCCGCAATCTTGAGTTTCGAAACCCTGGCTCAACAGCAATTCCACTTGGCGGGACAATAGAGGTCAGTTTTCCAGAGTGTGTAAACCTCTTCTGGCTGCGCAGCAGACCACGCCACTCACCTCAGCTACTACTCGTCAAACAGACTCCCCCCAGCCCCATCCACAACACCACGTCAGCAAATCCAGCCTGGGTCAGCCCTTCAGTACCGCCACGTGTTTGACTTCTCTGACGACACATCAGAGCCACATCCCCTACTCCTTGGGATCGTCTTGTGTTCCAGGAAATCCATTGTTCAGGCTGTGGAACTTCGAAGTCCAGCTTGGGGGAACTTCAGTGTTTGTTAGCGTTTCTCCATCCCCCTCCGGGCCCGAAGTTGCTGCGGCAGGTTGCTGCTTCTGGAACCTACAAACTGCCATACCCTTCCATTCTCGCTCCTCTTTTTTCCCATTCCTATCTTAGGCCGTTGACGGCTTCTGAGCTTCGATTACCGAAAGCTTGCTCGCCGCATTTCCTCAGCAGCTTCTCGTTGCTCGATTAGCCATTTGTCGACGGTCTAGTTTCTGCCTGAGCTCGTATAGAATCACCAAAATGGCGTCAGTCACGAAATTGACGACGTCAGTGCTTTCGAGCACTGTCCTCCCGGCACTGCCTAAGACCACTTGCAATGTAAGGGGTCTTACTGTTCCTCGTGCCAGTATCTTATTACCAGTTCTTCCTGAAAAAAAAACAAAAAATAAAAAATCGATTTGTTACGATCACTTATGTTAAGCTCCTAGGGTTCTTCTCAATTCCTTGACGTACAGTGTCCCACAGTTGGTTTTACGCCCAAGTAGCTGCTATTTTGTTGTACTCAGACTTCTTATGAACGAAAACCCCTTTTCCAGGCTCGCGCTGCACTTCCAGCGGCTGGATTTCCGCAGGGTCAGCTCCGCCTTCACCAAAACCGCCTTAGGTATGTCGCTGACGTGATTCTGCGCCCGTTGTAAATAGTGCGGCATGTGCACCTGGATGTGTCTATGTCGTCATTTGGCGGCGTTTTTTTCTTAATTTCGTGCCCCGTTCGAACTACACGTTGAAGGCACTAATTCCACAATTCGTGAATTCAGTGCAGTTTATTCAACATTCATCGCACTTCCTTGATTCCTCCGGTCTAGATGATTCTTCCTACCATCCCGCATGTCTTGTTTTCAGAAGAGCTTATAACCTTTTTCTTCTCCACCGCCCTTTCCCGCTTTCCGCAGAGCCAGCTTCCAGAAGAGCCTTCATCTTCCCGTCTCCAGCAGGGCGTTTCCCTGTGTGAGGGCCGTGAGCGTGGAGGGAGAGACGGCAGTGGAGGAGGCAGTGGAGGCTGTTCCCGAGAGCACCGATGCCGCCGCCGAGCAAACGCCTGCTCCTGCTGCTGCTGCTGAGGAGAAGACGGAGGAGAGGAAGGCGCGGCCTGGGGCTACCAGGAGGAGAAAGGTTACCGTGAACGTCGAGGACCTCCAGCCTGGCCAAGAGCTCACTGGCAAAGTTGTGAGTGTTCCTCCGTTCCTCAACTCATTGATTGGGGGTTCCCTGTATCTCGACTCATCCTTAGTGTATGATTTTTTCCAATTAACTATGTTAAAAGGCTTAGTCAAATACATTTTCCTTTTCCGGTGTTTGGGCCCGATCAGCAGATGGCTGTCCCTGTGTGGTACTTTTCGAAATTTTACTGAGTGTTTGATATTGCGCGGTGCTAGGGTTTATCCTTGCGAATCTGACCGTGCTTCTTTTCCGTGCTCGTTCTGTTCTCCGTGCTGTTTGCAGCGCTCGGTGAAGCCGTACGGAGCCTTCGTCGACATTGGCGCGTTTACCGACGGCCTCGTCCACATCTCTCAGCTCGCGGTACGAATCTTTACGCTACTTGCAAAATGCGGTACGGAATCGCGGGCTCGTAACAACCAGAGTAATACTCATTTTTGTTGGTTTTCACCGGCGGCCTCGTTCACATATCCCAACTCACGGTACAGAATCAGTGGACTTCCACTTAATAAATGGCCATGACTACGATATCACATGGAGCTAGTTCGCGAACGTAGCTTATTTTTCTCTGTCTCCGCAAATGACCTCGTGCACATGTCCTGCTGGAATAAGGAGGTGCACATGCGCCATCTTTAGCTCATCAGTAGCGTAGGTTGCGAGGCGCCTAGAAACCGAGACGAATGGATGTAAGAATGGGGGTCGAGACTTGTCGCAAAAAGTTCTGTTAATTGTGACGGTAGAATCAGTTTACTTTTTCCCGTCCTGCCTTTTTGCCTGAGAACAACCCCAATGCCCCCTCTTTCGCACGCTTCTTTCGCCGCAGACGGGTTTCGTGAACAAGGTTGAGGATGTGGTAACCGTCGGGCAGGAGGTTGTAGTGCGAGTGATCGAGGCCAGCAAGGAGTCCGGCCGCATCGCGCTCACCATGCGCGACCTGGAAGCGGAGCGCGTGGCGGCGGAGGAGACGGCGGCCGTTGATGCGGAGCGGAAGGCGTTGGCGCAGCAGCGGCGCCAGTCCGCGGGGGGCGCGGAGGGGGACGCGCCCGAGCGCAAGGTGGCGGGCAGGGGCCGCAGGCAGCAGCGGGAGGATCAGAAGCCGACGCATAACTACAAGAAGGGGCAGAAGGTGAAGGGCGTGGTGAAGAACCTGACGTCATACGGATGCTTCGTGGAGCTCGAGGGGAAGGTGGAGGGGCTCCTCCACGCCTCCGAGATCGCCCCTGGTGGTAAGCAAAGTTTTCTCAGTTGTTTGTATGTCTGGGAGTGGCTGATACGTCGAAAGGTGAAAGGGTTTTGATACAAGGGGCAGAAGGTGAAGGGCGTGGTGAAGAACTT